TTTTTTTAATTTAATTAATTGTTTAAAAAAAAAAAGTTTACTATTTGACAAACCCCGTATAAATCTAAGCTTCAGACTTTGTGCAACATTTGGAAAAATCAACAAACGTTCGTAAAAATTAAGAGCTTTCTAATTAGATATCTTGTAAATAGTATGGACGAAAATAGAGATAGATATGGAGATCGTCAACAAAAATATTGCAAAAAAAGCAACGGTTAGTTCCGACTACTTTGCACTTGCAGTTTATTGTATTCGAATTGAGTGGGCTACAAATCTGTATATTCAAAATATTTCTAAGAAATTTGATCAAAATTTTTAGAATGTGTAGTTTCACCTTCAATTTGAGAGTTATTTCAATAGCGTTAAGTCATTATTTATTTATGCTGATCAATTGCGTTGAAATCATATTTGGTAGAAAAAAAGTTTTGAAAAAGCGTGACGCGAGAATAAATTTTCTATTGAAATTTTAGTAAAATTCAAAATTGAAAAATATAGGGTTCTTTTGCAGAATCTCTTCCTCTTAATAGGTTGGGTTGGGCGGATACCAATAAAAAAAACTTCAGCAATTACAACTCTTCCATCTGGAGTTTCGCCAGCTGTTCATCCCAAGTTCAGAAACAAACTCTTGCATTTGGTACATTTTACCCCTGCGCCTGGAGCCGAAAGAAAATCACACAATTAGTCGCATGGGCTCCCCAGTGACCCGAATAAAAGTGTTGAAAAAAGAGTTTTCAAAAAAAAAACGAAGTGTGTATTAACAATAATATTAAAGTACTCAAATTATTATCGTTAACTAAAAAAGAGAAAAATATAATTTCGACTTCGAACTTAAAAAAAAATAAAAAAACAAAATTAAAAACTTACCTCCGCCAAAAATTTTCCTCCGCGACACATCTATACACGACTATGTTCTAACCGTGACTAAATAAATAAAACGAAATGTATATTGCCATAAATATTAAAGCTTTTTGTTATAGTTAACTTTAAGAAAGAAAAGCATAACTTTCACTTTAAACTTAGATACAAAAATAAAAACTTACCTCCGCCAAAATATATTACATAAGTGGTCGCATGGGGCCAAGAAGGCTCAAAGAGTAGCGACAAATGTGTACACGCCGATGTTCTGGCTGTGAATTATTTATTTCTATATTATTTAAGTTAGACAGAGCGCGAGCACGCTCCAAGCACTCCAAGATATATATATTTTTTTTCTACTTGAAATGCCCCAAACCCCAAGTGCTAATTAAGGGTTGAGGACAGTTTCAGCAGAGCTTCATCATCTGTGCGTACAACACATCCCATTCAGCGCAATCGAAGCATTTTTACATCATGAACTATGCCCAGGGCTTTAAAAACTTCGTAATGTTTGTTATTCCATCTTCTTTGATACCTTTTTCCCACGCAAATGTGGCTACATATTTTCGTAAAATAGCTCTCGGAAAAACTCTCAAAGTCTCAAAGTCACTTTTGTTCAACATCTCTCCATACAAAAGGGAGGACATGACGAGAAATTTGTAGAGCATAGTTTTTTTTTTGTTTATGTAGAGATAGAAGGATCCACTTTTTAATTGCCTACCTATTCCAAAGTAGCAGAAGGGCATTCAGTTTTTTAACTTGCGACCTTGTCTGACACCATTGACGGTGTTTATGCTGAATTCCAGGTAGACAAAGTCCTTCAACTCTTCTTAAATGTCAACAAGTCTCCAATCACCGTAGGATGTACTTATTTCACCTTCTTCTCTTTGCTTGAGAATGTTGCTCCGATTGACCTTTCCTTCTTCGTATTGAAATTCCTATTAAAATGTTCCTATTAAAATTTTATTGCTGCCTTACTTTCGGTAGAATTTTTGGGACACATTCCTGCCTGGTAGCATCTCAAACTCTTCGAATTTTTTTAGCTCCCTTTTCTTCATCTGGAAAGGACGCCTCTTCTACTTTCGAGCAGCTTGGCATCGTTCAATAGTCCCTCCGTGCTTTACGTGAATAAAAAATAAGTCTGCCGCGCACATTTTTGGTAAGTGTTTGGTCGAACTTCTTCTCCAATTTATTATATGCGTTTTTATTTTGAAACACAAATGGAGGAACCTGTACCTTATCGCCACCTTCGAACGGCAAATGGTTTTAATTAGAAGCTTTTTGTTGGCAGAAATACACTCGGAGATTAACTGCATCCCGCCTTTTTTTTCATTAAAAAACGATGCTTTGCTTCAAACTAATTTTGAAAGAAAGAAAATGAAAGAAAACAACTTCCAACTGGGATATTTTGCTAACTAAATATTTACATACATACTATGTAGGTGCAAGTACAAGTACACGTACATACATACGCTCGTACCGTCTAGTGCATGAACTCCACTGTTCAGACGGTCGGCAGTGCCACAAAAATCAAGCGAAGCAAAAAATCAAGCGAAGTAAAAAATCGCGCTTCCCAACTAAAATTGCTGGCTGACAGCGGAATACACAAAGCAATGAAGAGTCAGCAACTAACTGACACTAACTGTGAATGCGGTTTTGGCATTGGCTTTGGGGCTGGGTTATGTGGCTGTGAGAATATGGATGTACATAGCTTAGCCACTGACTCTGCTCTGCGGCATTCGTTGCTGTCATTGTGTTGGTTGTTGGGCATCTGGCCCGCGCATCAGACGAGTGGCTTACGCAAGGAAGCAAAATGCGCTGACTGCTGTTTGGCGATGCGATACTTTCAACTAACCAGTGTCTGTTGTAGTTTTCTGCATACCCATTTATTTTAGACACTTTTGTTCTATCCTTTTTAATTCCCTGCTCTGTTTTGAATATTTAGCTGGTGGCTAAAACTTTTGATTGCCAATATTACTGACGCTAATATCGCGTGTAGCGAAAATGAACGACGACGAGTGAGCAAGTCTGTAGAGATAAGTATTGGCACTATATTTTGCATGAACTGTACGGTGTATGGGTGTATGTGTGATGTGGATTATAATAAAATACTCGCCACTCGATTGCGTGTGTAATGATTGGGAAAATTTTGGCATGGCGTGCATTTTTTAAGTGCAGCAGACAGACATATAAGACCGATGGTGCTTTTGCCATGAAAAAGAGCTTCTCATAAAAATACGTTGACAATTTGTTCTGACTCCAAATACATTCGAAAGCTTAACCCTTATATACGAAGAGATGGTACAAATGGTGGTAACCAAGCGACAAAAATATTTCGCCACCCAAATTACTTACGGTCATGAAATTTCATGATAGCCTTTCGCTAGCATTTTTGAACAAAACACTATTTAACTAAATCATTTTATTAATAAAAAGGACTCTTTTTTTAGGGTCTGAGTACCCATAGACCTTAAAGACAAAATTGTTGTATATTTGTACCACCAAATATTTAGTTTTGAGTTGATTTCCAATTTCAGTTAGTTGCATAGCATGGCATCACTGAGAGACTAAAAACATATCTACTCTCAACTTCCAACTCAGCCCAAGCTAGCTCTAGTTTTTTTTTTTTGCTGAGGATTTCTTGCGCGTGTTTATCAGTACGAGTACTTATAATAAAGTAAATATTAGCTTGCCTTCCATTTTACTCTGACCTCTGCTGTCTGGCTTTCTGTCTGTCCGAGTTGGCAAATATTCCCCCCTTATTCGCCTCCGTAATTATAAATTCCAAAAATATGATACGCATGTATTGAAAATTAATTTATTTATTTTTAACGTCTCCCTGGTGAGAGTTCAAAGTACATTGATGATGGCTTTACAAATTTCTCCGTCTTAAATTGAATTATTATTACAGCTAAAATTACTTAATTTTGCATGTAAATTCCAATATTTCTGCTTTGTCTGCAAGTTGTCTGGGCAGCTAATCATGTTTATGGAATTTTATAAAAAAAAAATTTTCAAAAGCGTTAATGCAAGTAGAATTTGATTCTGGCATTCCGACTTAAATTTATACCTATATAAATTAAATCTAAAATATTAATTGAATATGATGAAAAACATTGCCCACATTTACTTGAGTGTTAGCTAATTATTTCTTCATATTTGTTGAATCTACTTAATTCTCAGAAATACTTTACTTTTGAAATAAGTACATATTAACCCTTTCAGTACAAGCGTCCAATATGTATCAGGGACAAACTTTTTTGTGCTAAAAGATATTTTTCGTAAATAAAAGCTTTTGTTGTTAACATAACAGTTGTTTTGAGAAAATTATATAACTTTTCTTTAAAGCTTTTCTTTATGTGCATATTTTGAATGCAGTTCACCACGTTTCTTCACAAAAGTGAAAAGTGTCAAAGTCCATTTTTTTCGGTGGAATTGAGATCGAAAAAAATGTTAAATATTGTTCATAGTTTTGAAATCTATTGCGCGTCGGAAATTGTTTGCTTATACTTTTGAAATAAATGAGCCGAACGCAGCCGGTAAAAAAGTGTCCGATCTTTAGCTTCAGCGGCTGGTTTTTTGTGCTGAAAGGGTTAAGTAGGCCAGAGGAAGCCATCGAGTCTAAGAATTAATTCTGGATACAAAACTATCGTTATGCGTTGACATATATTCAAAAAGAAATACAAAAAAAAATAAAAATATATATATTCCGACGAACTGATAACCTCCTACTTTTTTGGAAGTCGGTTAAAAAAACATTCTTCGGGCGAAACGTGCCTAGTGTTCCTTGTTCTGTTACGCTTAATTAATAACTTATTTTAAATTTTGTATTACTAGTCACTTCATAAATTTTTCATATAATATTTAGAATATTTTAATTTTTCTTTTCAGATAAACACGACGCGAAAATACCAAGCAAATGATCGCTAAAACGTGAAATATATAACTACATAAGTGCTGTTTTAACTTATTAGTAAATATAAAGGATAAAAGTGAACGTGGTCAATAATAAGGTTCGTATGTCTTAATTAATGACACAGACATTATATAAACTATACATGTTCTAAAATCATCCGAACAAGTAACAAAAAAAAAATGCCCACACCTATTTTGAAGAAAAATTTATATACATAGATATTATTCCTCTGACACTGGATCGTAGCCGTACATACGCAATATGAATTTTTTATTAAAATAAAAGAAGTACTTAAATGGGAATACAAATTTTGTATAAATGGACGTATAAGTAATTTCTGCCCAACATTCATTTAACAAGACTATTTTGCCCAAAACTGATTTTCCAGAGAAACGTTAAATGTAGCCAAGTCTAAGCAAGCAGATCCTTTGCAAATTTCCAGAATTCAAGTGATATATAAATATTTTATGCCGCACATAAATATCATCAAATACCTAAATAAACTGTCTATGGGTGGACGTACTACTTTGTATAATAACTTCTACACACTTATCGGCCCACATACATAAATACATTATATCCGTTTTCTCAGTTTAAGGCGAGTTGACATCTGCTCCAACGCTGCTCACAGAAAGCATTAAGCAAACAAAAGCAAAGCAGAAAAAGCCAGAAAGGAAAACAATGTCAAACACAAAAAAAAATCCATATATTTAGTATAGGGTAAGCAAAAAAAATTCATATCAAAACAAATACACAAAAACATGAAATTGTTGCCGGTTAATGTTCATTGGTTGGAATGTGTGTAAACGCGCGCTAAGCGGGAAAAAAGTGGCGCGACAAAAACCGTAAAAGTATTTAAGTCTGCAATGGATTTATGCTGATTGCACGGGATTACTGCGTAAATTGGAAAGGATTCAACATGAATTCCATTCAATTCTTTATCGCCGCACTTTTGGCAACTATCGGTAAGTAGCTGTTGATGACTCTATTTACTTGTACTGTATGTGTATTCATTTTATTTATACTGCATTTGCTAGAGAATTGATATGTTCTAGTAAGTTATTCTTCGGAAAATTTTACCGAGAGTCTTCTCAGGTAAAAACTTCATGTCGCTAGCGTAAAGGTCTCTAAAAATCTATTCCCAGAAGGAATAACAGCCAAACTCACTTTTAAAAAATTCTCTGTAGAAAACGCCAACTTTGAACTTTTTCCATGTAGAAAAAAAAATTATTTTAATTTTTACATACTTTTACTTCAATGACATGAAGATTTTGCCTGACAAGGCCTCTAGTAAAATTTTCCGAGGAATAATTTTTTAGAAAGTTTTAATCCTCATTGGCGTCAGGTGACTGCTAGGTTGATAGTAATGGGATAGCGGCCGTCTGGAGACCGATTTTTTCGCAATTAACTCTTTTTGGCCTTCCTTTTTTCCTCTTGAAAGTACTACTTCCTTCCCATACTCCTGCTGGTGGTGCTAGAATTTTATTACATACACTGGCAATCAAAACCGAGTGCATGTTCGAGATTTTTTTACTTACAGTGTAATAACTTTTTTAATAATGAGCGAATTCTTTCGAAATTCTCAGCAATTGGTCTTTATTATGTAACGAATAAAAGCTAGTATACAGAAAAGATGAATTTAAAAAAAAAACGGTAATTTCACGGCATAAACGTAAGGCAACTCTATGCACTCAGTTTTGAACTTTTCTGTTGTAAGATTTTAGAAGATTGGAATATGCCGTTAGATACATGTCATGATTTTTTCTTTACTTACACAACATTCTTCGAGGTTTGTTTCAATAAGTGCGTTATTTTTGGAGAGTAAGTTCGCGTTTGATATAGTGGTAAAAAAGAAAATGAGAAAAATTGCAATAAGTATTGAAGATAATATAGTCGACTTGACTAAAAATGGGAACTCGTCACGTGTTATTGCTCAAAAATTGAAAGTGAGCCAACGAACGGTAATAGTTGTCCAAAAACGGAGAAATATCGCTCCGGTACCAAATATTGGAGGTCGGCCCAGGTTACTAAAGGACTCCGACGCCCGTTTGATGTTGCGCAAAATGCAAAATAAAACGTCAAAAACGCCAAAACAGGCAGCTCTGGCTATAAACAAGAACGTTAGTGCACCAACTGCACGTAGAGCGCTCCACAGAATAGGATTAGTGTCAGCAGTTAAGCAGCAAAAGCCAGCTCTGTCTGATAAGAACATCAAAGCGCGACTGAAATTTTGCAAAAGTCACGAGAATTGGACCGTTGAGGACTGGAAACGGGTGATTTGGTCTGACGAAACGAAAATTAATCGTTTCCAGAGCGATGGAAAAGAATATTTTTGGCGTAGACCTCATGAACATCTTCAAAAGCACCATGTGAAGCAAACTGTAAAACATGGTGGTGGCAGATTAATGGTTTGGGGGTGTTTTACTTGGTGGCATTTGGGGCCGTTAGTTAAAATTGAAGGGATAATGAAGAAGGAAAACTATCTCCATATTCTTCAATCAAACTTGCCCGACTTTGTAGATATGAGCGCATACCCGGAAGAAGAAGTCGTTTTCCAGCAGGACGGAGATCCGAAACATACCGCAAAAATTGTACACCGCTGGCTGCTTGAGCAAAATTTTCAACTACTGCAGTGGCCAGCACAAAGCCCTGACCTCAACCCTATTGAAAATTTATGGGCTGTGGTCAAGAGGCGATTGGGACAGCATACGCGAGCTCCGACTAATATGGAAGAGCTTTGGAGGCGAGTAAAGCTAGAATGGGAAAATATACCTAGCGAAATAATAGAAAATTTAGTCGAGAGCATGCCTAGACGTATGAAACTGGTTATTAAAAACAAAGGATTGTGGATACCATATTGATACCAGCCTCCTAAAATCCCACAAAAAAAAAGTTCAAAACTGAGTTAATCGAGTTGCCTTACGTTTATGCCGTGAAATGGCCGATTTTTTTTTTAATTCATATTTTCTGTATACTAGCTTTCATTCGTTATAAAATAAAGACCAATTGCTGAAAATTTCAATAGAATTCGCCCATTATTAAAAAAGTTATTACACTGTAAGTAAAAAAATCTCGAACATGCACTCGGTTTTGATTGCCAGTGTACATATCGAGCCCTAACCGCCAAAATAACGTAAGCGACATTTTTGTCAAAGTTTTATTTTTGATGCAGAAATATTCCTAGAGCATCTAGATGCATTTCTGCATCAAAAATAAAATTTCGAAAAAAATGTCGCTTACGTTATTTTGGCGATTAGGGCTCGATATGTTAATTTGTAAATTTTGGAATAGGTTTTATAGTTCTATATTAACACAAATTTTGTGCAACAATAAATGCACATTTATGTGCACAATTTCCCCCCAAATTTATAAATAAATAAGCGAATTCATATTTGCCCATAAAATTTGCTGTATTATTTATTTTATTGAAAGCAGTTACAATGAGTGCTAGTTGTTTCTAAACATACTTACGTATGCAAATTCATATATTCAAAATCAATAAATAAAATATGTACATATGTATATCTATGTAGGTGCATATTTTGTATTAAATCAATTTAGCTAAAACAATTAATAATTTACATATATGTATTTACTTTGTGGCAAACGGATCGAATTTTTTCAATTCCACTAATATTGACGCGAATGGAATCTGAATAAAAATTTTTGGGTTTTTGGAATACTCGTGTATTTAAAGTCGAATTACCGTAATATTAAATTATTATTAGTGAATTTCATTAAACACCGTAAAGCTTTGGCAAATGTTGCGCTTTTTGCAAAATTTTGCATCTTGCGACCCAGCTGAGTACTTTTGTATGAAAACTTTCTAGCGACACACAGTGGCCTCAATAGGAGGAATTTTTTCACCACCCTGTATCAACTAGTATATAGAACCACTGATTATAAATCTTCAGTCAGGTTTCAAAAATCCAATATGAAATTAGAATGTAAATTAAAAATTTTGCTTAGGTACTTTATACGGTACATATCTAAAATCAATCAGGGCTTTCAGTTCTAAGAATAAAAGATTGTTGTTAATAATAATTAAAAAGGAATTGTTTAAAAACACATAGATATAACATTGAGTTTAATAACCTCCGGATTTGCGCCAAAAATGCTGTATTGCAGAATTTAAAAAATCGCGCTATTATCTTTGGCGATTTTAAACTCTTAACGGCAAAGGTATTAACGGATTTAGAACAATATTTTTTTTTTGTCACGTTAATGGTCAGCTCTACAATACATGTGTATGTGTATGTATACATATAGCAATCATGTTATTGTAGTAGCGCAATTGTTAACTCTTGAAAACCAAAATGAAATATCAATTGCAATCCCACTTCAGTATTAAGGATTAAAATGTGTAGGTGCCTATTTGGCTTTGTTTGAATGCACACATTCGTAGCCTGCGAGTAATACTTAAACAAAAACATCAGTTGCCTAAAGTGTGTATTTAAGCCACAATAGAACAATAACATGCATATGCACATACATGCATAAATACATACAGACATGCATGTATGCTTAATGGCACACAAAAACTTTGTATTCTACAAAAAGAAAAAAATGCAAGCGAAAAAATTGCATTGAAAATAATTTCAACAGTTAAGCAATTAATTTAATGGAGTTCAGGACATTAAGAGACATTTAAAAAGATCAGGTGTACTATACAGATACATATGAATGTGTTGGAAAATGTGCACATTTTTATGAAACTATTGTAGTCGTGCAGGGTGCTTAAAAAAAATATTTTAGATATTTTGATTTGAATTTTTGATTGAAATTAAGCAGCAATTTGTAAGAAAATATAGTTTTTCTTAATTAACCATTTGCATTTGTTAGGCTTGAAGTCATTTTATTGGTGTTTGTATTCTCCATCTGAAAAAAGAAATAAGTTAATTGTAAAAACAAATATTTTTAAAGCAAGTATTCCAAATATGAGCGAAATTGGACCATAAATATTGGTTTACCAAATATATTGAAAAAAGGAATAAGTTAATTATAAAAACAAATATTTTTAAAGCAAGTATTCCAAATATGAGCGAAATTGGACCATAAATATTGGTTTACCAAATATATTGGTATTTGTATTTTCCATCTGAAAAAAGAAATAAGTTAATTGTAAAAACAAATATTTTTAAAGCAAGCTTTCCAAATATGAACGAAATCGGAGCGAAATATTTACCCAGCTTCTAATGGTGGCTTCGATGACTAAAAAAGGAAGTGCCTTAACTAGCTGTGGATCAAGGCCTCTCTAGTCAAACGTCATTATCAGGGGTGTCCGTATGACAAGATATTTAGGTCTAAACTCAATCGGTGCTGTATTTATCATACCAGCACCCTTTTATTTTAGGCCTGTAGGGGGCCTTAGGGCCTCTCCGACCATAAGGACACTAAATAAAATGAATTCAGAGCAGCACTAAGTGAAAAGTGTATTCTAACAAATGCGGAACTGAAGCAACCTTTCCTGGAATTTCAGCTAAGGATGTCAGTAGAAGCTCGGCCAAACACTAACATATATTTAAGCGCCTTTCTATTATTATTATTATTAATATGTCAGTACTTAGTGAAAATTAAAAAACAAAAAAAAAACAACGAAACTATTTGTCCATCAAAACCCTTCTACTCTTACTGTAGAAATGAAATAAATTTATTTAAATGGCATCGCTAATGGACACCCTGTATATACACATGGAAGTAACAAACCAAAAATAAAGCATAAAAATAAGCTTACACACTCGTAGTAGTTATGTATTTGTTATTAATTTTTCCACACAAAAACTATCTCAAATTTATTTCAATTTGTAAAGCTTAAAAATAGTTATGTTATAAATTATGACAATGATAAATATTAGCTTGCTTTGTTGCGAGCTTTTTTTTTTTTAACCACAGTACAAAATACTTTTGATGGCTTCGAGTGTTGTTAGTCACTTTTTTGTGATGCAGTGATTAAATATATCTTCTC